CACTTACTGCTTTCACAGAGGACTGGGAGTTCAGTTCCATGGGATCCAATATCTTCTTCTAGTCTCCACAGGCACACTTACCACATACATATAAATAAAACTAAAATCTTTTAAGATTTATGTGTGATTCCCTGGAACTGGGGTTACAGAGGGTTGTTGGCCACCATGTGCATACTGGGAGCAGAACCTGGGTCCTCTGCCAAGAGCAATAAATGTTCTTAACCACTGACCCATATCTCCAATCCCCTAAAAAAAAAAAAAAGATTAAAGGCGAAGCAGTGGTGCACGCCTTTAATCCAGACACTTGGGAGGCAGAGGCAGGCAGATCTCTGTGAGTTCAAGGCCAGCCTGTTCTACAGAGCAAGTTCTAGGCCAGCTGGGGCTACAGGGAGGCCCTGTCTCAAAAAGACCAAAAAAAAAAATTATTTAAAACATACAATGATGTGTCTGACACAGCCAGGATGACAAGGTACTCTATACACACTCACGCTCTGTGGCTTTTGTGGTTTGGTTCAAATCTGCTATATAGCCAAGGATGACCCTGAAGTTCTGATCCTCCTACCTCTACCTTTCCAATGCTAGGATCACAGGAGCTTGAGTTCAAGGCTTTGTACCTCTCTAGACAAGCCCTTTACCAGCTGAGCTACATCCCCTACCGCACTCTTACCTCAACAGGGCAGTCACTAGTGACCCTCCGTCTTGGGTACTGATATTTTTAGTTCTGTGATTTATATCTCAAATGTCTTTTCCAGAGGAGACAATCTGCCAAAACAGGTCATGGCCACCGCTTTCTGATCCCTTGGCATTGGTGGAGAAAACCAATACAGCTTCCAAGGCGACCCTCAGGCTTGAGGGCATGCCCAGCATTGTTCTCTGGGGAAAACTGACTGTGTGGCTTTGCCTTCAGCCAAGCAGAGAGGCTGAACTCCAAAGCATCAGAGACTCCCACACACCTGGCCGTATTGAATGTCACTACCTTAAGCTACCCCCATCCTACCCAGTTACTGCTGCACACATTGTTACTTCTGTATGACGTGTGATGGAGCAACACCCGATCTCTATGCTGATAGAGGCTATATGAAAATAGCAAGCCTGGATGGTAATCACCAGTCCAGTACAGGCTTCCAGATACATTCCCACTGACCCACTTCATGAACTGTCTCTGGAAAACTCTGTCACTCTTCTAAGCAGAAATGAATACAGAGTCTTTTGGAATCCGTAATAGAATTAGAAAAGGGTGGACTGGTTTGTTCACTCTTGCTCCCTTATTAAAATGTCTCAATTTATATAGGCTTCAGAAAAATAGTAACTTAGCCAAATGGACTATCTTGTGAGCAGAATGTAATGTAAAATAAGCATCCAAAATTACCACTTAAGGGATTTTTGAGTCTTAAGTCTGCAAATGAAAATACCTTGAGTTAAGTCGTGTTTGTAATTCAGATTCACTGGACCCAATGCATCCATCTGCCCTACTTCCACAAACTTAATTTGCAATCAGTACTTACAGCATCCCTAGGTCCTTAGTTATATGACATAAGGGATAGCTTTAAGAAAGCTAGAACCAGGCATGGATAGCACAGGCCTGTTAATCCCAGCACTCAGGAGGCTGAGACAGGAGAAGTCCAAGCCCTACCTTGGCTAAATGATCCACCACTGCTACAAAACATCTCACACAAGATTGACATTAATTACTCGTATTAACTCTCCCCTCAACTGCCCTGGCTCCAAAGAAGCTAACAAAGAACAGCTTCATACTGTCTTTTGTAGCCGTGGTACCTGTAAGTTCTCTTACTAGTGCACCTCAGGAGATCACACTAACATATCTCCTGCTTTACCAGGGGAGGAGAGGTCTCACAAACTGTAACACAGCTTACCCCAAAGAAATACCAGTGAAATGTTGGCTTTCTACTGTTCACATGTACCTCTTAACAATGAAGAGGTCCAAAGGGGGTAAGAATAATAAGGTCCTGGACAAAGGAGTGCTTTTCTCCTAAAACAAGAATCCCAAGCCTTAGATGTGAGGGCTTGGCAAGCATGTTCAGCATCTTACAATAGTCAAATGCAAAATAAACCTGTTCTTGACATTTCTAGAACTGGTCCTGCCAAATTTGGGATGTAGTTCGCTCAGTTATCTTTTGGCATCTTTCTCTTGTTTCTTTTAGTGCTAGAGACTGAACTCAGGGCCTTGTGCCAACTGCTCTACCTGTGAGCTATATCCCTATCCTTATGTTTTTGCTGGAAGCTTTGCAATGAATGTCCTATAAGGACTTGCTTTGTTCTGGCAGGTTGAAAAGTCACTGCTTTCTACCAGTGTTGAAATCACCAAGTCATAGGAATGTCCTGGCCAACCTCCAAACCAGAAGAGCTGGACCCATTCTGCAGACTTGTACTTTCAAAGAGTCCTTTGTTAATCTGCTAAAGAGGGATCAGTCCCATTATTTCTTCCACCAAGGCCAGAACCCACTCAGCTTCCAAGATCAAACCAGACAGGGTATGTTAATGTTGGGCCCAATTCTAATTCCATCCTTCCAAAGAGTATTCTCCCCAAATTCCCAAGACAGGCCAGAGTCAGGTATTCCAAGTTAGTCTGAGAAATGGTTTCCAAGTCCCCATCTCCCTTTGATGAACTTCTACTGATCTCTCAGGGCATCCCCTCAAGTACACACTGGGAAACAATGAACATGCATCTCCAAGGGCGGCAATGCAAGGACAGCAAGTTATCACTGGCCGCAGGTGTAGCAGCACCCAGCCTTGCCACAGAGCACACAGTACTAGTCTCAAAACCTGAGAAAACAGAAATGAAGCATAGGAAAGTAAAAATAGTAAATCAAGGGAAAGGGGACATTATGTCCCATCGTCTATGCCTCCGCTAATCACTATTAGCTGGTAAGAATTGGGAAATTCACAAATCCAATGTTCTTGTCCCACATGACCACCTACATTTAGAAGGTGCTTCTACTCTGGTGATTTCAAACAAAGAGCTCACAAGAGAAATCCAAGGTTGTACAGTCACAGGCTCCCTACAAGCACTGAGACTGGAAGTTTCTACAGTGCCTTCTCCACATAGGCTCTGATCACCAGGTATCAAGTGCTTCTCCATCCCCAGGGTCCCACTGTCATCTGACCACATTTATAGTCCTGTGACAGCAGCAGACAATGTTCGTTTTTTACACTTTGTCTATGCCCAGCTACATTTCTCTTAGCCATTCCCTAAAAGCCTCTCATGTTGGGATGAATTATAGATCAGATGCACTGCAAACTGTCTCAGCCTTTTAACTCCCCCAGCTGTGCCCATTCCCACATGCTTCTAAATGGCAGCAGATCTGGTAGAAACAGGCAGCAAGATCAACACTTGAATTTCTGGAGTAATGTTTTCAGACACCCGGAACTGGTCAGACACATTTCTTTCTTTCTTCTTTCTTTCTTCTTTTCTTTCTTCTTTTCTTTCTTTTTCCTTCCTTCCTTCCTTCCTTCCTTCCTTCCTTCCTTCCTTTCTTTCTTTCTTTCTTTCTTTATTTCTTTCTTTCTTTCTTTCTTTCACCATCAAACACAACCAAGCTACCAAATTTCCACAAAGACTATACTCCCACACATGACCTGAGGACACAGTCCTAGTACCTCAGCATGGAGGTGTTGTAGGCCAAGGAGAATGATGCTTACAGAAGACAATGCAAGAGAACAAAACAGAACTATAGAATTTACAAGTTTGGCAATCAGCAAAATACCTCCTTTTTCTAGATTTCACTTTTCTCATTTCTGAGGAGAGTTTCTAATAAGAAAATTGAACTCAATTATCAGGCCAGTTCATAAAAAAAAAAAAACAGGAGGCTAGAAGTCACTAGGAATAAACTCCCAGCAGTTAAGCATCTTACCTTTGAACCTGGCATAGAAGTCTGTCTCCTTACAAAGCAAGATGAAGTGTATGAGACATAGAAACCACATCACCAGACCTAGCCCATAAATTAGTTCGGAGAGTACAAGTTGCAAACAGGCATCTGCCTGGAGATAAGCAAGTTCCAGATTCAAAGGAAAGCTAACATGATGCTCTAAAACACTTAAGATCCTGATCAGAGAAAAGCTTCCGACAAAAGACAGTAAATTTCTTATATTCTAAATTATACTCAGGAATCACATATTTTGGAATTTGGAGGTAGGAAAGGGAAAGCAAACAGATGACATTAAACGGATGTGAAGTACTCAAAAAGGGTAAAAACTAAAAAAGCTAGTCTGATTAAAGGCTCATTGCTTTGGATTACAATTATGCTTTTTTTCTTTTCTGTTTTTGTTGTTTTTAGACAGGGTCTCCCTATAGCTCCAGCTGGCCTGGAACTTGCTCTGTAGATCAGGCAGGCCCCACCCAATCTTACAGAGATCTGCTTGCCTCTGCCTCCCAACTGCTAGGATTAAAGGTGTGCACCACTACGCCGGGTTCCCATCATGCCTTTTTGGAGAGCATTAATTTGTGAGGTGAAATCTGTAGTAACTCAAATTGCCATAGTGAACCACAGAAAAATGCAAATACGGAAAACACGTGGCTTGTCACAAGAAGGGCCACATTAAGAACCCTAGGAATCCACACATACTTGATAATGGCTCTTCTGAGTTGGACTAGGAACAGGTGACAGAGGGTACCTCCACCCAGAAACAGCATAGGACAAGACACATGAGACAGGGCTGGGACATGGTGAAGGTAATGCTTAGGTTGGCAAGGAGACATCTTTATTCAAGATGGTAGCAGATCATGAATCCAAAAGGCTAAAGGTTGACTTAGCCTTTTAAAAGAAAACATTAACAAATTTAGTAAGTCTTTATTGCTTACTTACTAACCAGAGGCACACCCTGTGTTCCAATCATGAAATGATTTCATTTCATGAAATCTACATGTTCACCAAAAGTGCAGACTGATCATAACATCTAAAACACTTGCCCTGGCAAGTCAGAGACGAGAGCTGCTTTCTGCCATTTTCCAAGAATGAAAAGAAACAAATGGAACTCACTAATTTCTTAAAAATCCTCTTACAAATGATTTTATTATAAATATTTTCTTTTGGAATAAACAAATACTGCATTCAAGACTACCTGCCAACTTGCTATAAAGCAATGAGGAGGAGACATGGAAGCAGGAACCATTTAGAAACTGGGTGAACAGCAAAGAGACCTGCATGCCATACCAAGTGCCTTTCTCCCAGAACCGTAGCAGAGTTAACAGGAATACCGTATTTGAATTAAATAGCCTACTGAATTAAAATAAACTCTGAGTTTGGTAATTTGCACTTGTTCTGTAAACTGAACTGCTCCTCTCTTCAGTCCTAAGCAGCAGATGGAAAGACAGTTTTCAGATTCCAAACATCAACAAGAAAAATCTTGACTGTGTCTGAACCTTGTTTGAAGACAAAAGTGTTCTCTATTTGCCAGGGGTTATGTCCGAGTAATCCTTCAGCACTCCAGCCAAGTGTTCATTATGAGTCTTAAACCGACGCTTTTTCTGTGAAGCAGGCTTTTTCCTTCTCTGAATAGAGGCCTGAAGGAAAAGGTAAAGACAGACACAACAGTACAAAGGTCAGGATTTACTGAGCAAGCCCAGAAACCAGCAGCAAAAGCTACAGGGTTGTTTTTTTAACTTTTTAAAAAATTCATCATTTTTATTTTATGTGTATGCGTGTATTGTCTGCATGTGTGTAAGGGCACCCATGTCATTCAATGGCCACAGAGGTTAGAAGAGAGCACTGGATCCCCTGGAACTTTAGTTAGTGGTGGTTGTTAGCTGCCATGTGGGTGCTGGGAATTGAACCCAAGT